TTAATGTAGATACGTCTACATGTAGAGAGACTCTTCCCACTTCATTATTCTTTTCCAGAATTGTTTTAGCTATTCTAGTTCCTTTGCCTTTCCATATAAATTTAGAATCTTGTCTATATTTAGAAAAAAAATCTTGCCGAGCTTTTGGTAGGAATTGTGCTAAACCTGTACGTCAAATGGGGGAGAAGTGACCTCTTTACTATGTTGCATCTTCCAGTCCATGAACAGAGACTGCCTGTTTATTTGGATCTTCTGTGATTTCCTTCATCAGTGTGTTGCAGTTTTCAGCATACAAGTCTTGTACATGTTTTATTACATTGACAACTAAGTATTTCTTTACTTTTTAGTGATTGTATTATACTTTTAATTTTGATTTCCATTTTTTAGGTTTTTTATTTGTCTCACTGAAAGTACACAGAAATACAATTGACGTTTTGGTGTTGATCTTGCATCCTGTCACCTCAGTGACCTCACTATTAGTTCTAGCGGGTTTTTGTTGGTGTTGATTCCATGGGACCTTCCACATAGACCATCACGTCATCTGCAAAAAGAATGTTTCATTTATTCCTTTCTGATCTATGTCTCTTTTATTTCCTTCTCTTGTCTTGTTGCACTGGTAAGAATGGCCAGCACCATGTTGACTAGCAGAGGTGAGAGTGGACATCCTTGCCTTGTTTCTGATCTTAGAGGAAAAGTATTCAGTGTTTCACCATTAAGGATGGTGTTAGTTGTAGGGTTTCTGTAGATGTTCTTTATCAAGTTGAAGCAGTCCCTTTCCTAGTTTCCTGGGTTTTTATCATGAATGGGTATTGAACTTTGTCCAGTGCTGCTTCTCTATCAATTGATATGATCATATAATTTTTCTTCTTTCACCTATTAACATGATAGATCACATTGATTTATTTTCAAATACTGGATCAGCCTTGCAACTCTGGAATAAACTCCATTTGGTCGTGCTGTATAACTCTTAAATATTGCTGAATTCTATTTGCTAATATTTTGTTAATTTTTAAATCTATATTCATGGGTGATATTGGTCTGTACTTTTTTTTCCTTCTTTTTTCTTTTGTAGTGTCTTTGGTTTTGGTACCAGGTTAATACTGGCTTCAGGGGCCAACCTAGTGGGCATAGTGGTTAAGTTCCTGCACTCTGCCTTGGTGCCCGAGGTTTGCAGGTTCGGATCCCTGGCGCAGACATACCACCGCTTATCAAGCCACACTGTGGTGGCATCCCACATAAATAGAGGAAGATTGGCACAGATGTTAGCTCAGTGACAATCTTCCTCAGGCAAAAAGAGGAAGATTGGCAACAGGGCCAATCTTCTCACACACAAAAAAAAATACTGGCTTCATATAATGAGTTGGGAAATGTTTCTCCTCTTCTATTTTCCAAAAAAAAAAACTGTGTAGAATTGGTGTTACTTCTTTAAACATTTATTAGAACTCTCCAATGAAACCATCTGGGCCTGGAGATTTCTTTTTCAAGAGATTTTGAATGCAATTTCCTTAAGAGTTAAAGAGCTATTTAAATTATCTATTTAATATTTGATGATGTGAGGTAGTTTGTACTTTTTGAGGAATTGGTCCATTTCCCCTAAGTTGTCAAATGTGTGTGTAGAGAGTTGTTTGTAGTATTCTCTTATCATCCTTTTAATGTCTGCAGGGTCTGCAGCGATACTCCCTATTTCATTCCTGACAGTAGTGATTAGGTTTAGCAATTTTGTTAATCTTTTAAAAGAACCAGCTTTTTGTTTCATTGATTTTTTTATGTTTTTTTTGTTTTCAATTTCATTGATTTCTGTTATCTTTTTTTTTCAGGTAACATTGGTTTATAACATGATATAAATTTTAGGTGTACATCATATTTCGATTTCTGTGTAGACTACATCATGTTCACCAACCAAAGACTAATGACCATCCATCATCATACACGTGTGCCTTATCACTCCTTTTGCTCTCCTCCCTCCCCCATTCCCCTCTGGTAACCACCAATCCAATCTTTTTCTATGTGTTTGTTTGTTTGTTGCTGTTAATTGTTTTTATCTTCTATTTATGAGTGAGATCATACAGTATTTGACTGCCTCAATCTGACTTATTTCACTTAGCATAACACCCTCAAGGTCCATCCATGTTGTCGCAAATGGCAAGATTTCATCTTTTTTTTATAGCTGAGTAGTATTCCATCGTGAATATATACCACATCTTCTTTATCCATTCATCCCTTGATGGGCACTTAGATTGTTTCCAAGCCTTGGCTATTGTGAATAATGCCTTAATGGATGTAGGAATGCATATATCTTGACACATTCATGTTTTCATGTTTTTTAGATAAATACCCAGTAATGGAATAGCTAGATATACGGTAGTTCTATTCTTAATTTTTTGAGGAATCTCTATAATGTTTTCCATAGTGGCTGCACCAGTTTGCATTCCCACCAGCAGTGCATGAGGGTTCCCTTCTCCCCACAACCTCTCCAATATTTGTTATGTCTTGTCTTGTTAATTACAGCCATTCTGACAGGTGTGAGGTGATATCTCATTGGAGCTTTGATTTGCATTTCCCTAATGATTAGTGATATTGAACATCTTTTAATGTGCCTGTTGGCCATCTTTATAGCTTCTTTGGAAAAATGTCTGTTCAGATCTTTTGCCCATTTTCTAATTGTGCTGGTTTTTTGTTGTTGAGATGTATGAGTTCTTGATATATTTTGGATATTAGCCCCTTATCAGATATATGGTTTGCAAATATCTTCTCCCAGTTGTTAGGTCACCTTTTCATTTTGTTGACGGTTTCCTTCTGCTGTGCAGAAGCTTTTTAGTTTGATGTAGTCCCATTCGTTTATTTTTCTTTTATTTCTCTTGCCTGGTCAGACATGGTATTTGAAAATACACTGCTAAGACTGTTTTGAAGAGCATACTGTCCATGTTTTCTTCTAGAAGTTTTATGGTTCAGGTCTTACATTCAAGTCTTTAATCCATTTTGAGTTAATTTTTGTGTATGGTGTAAGATAATCATCTACTTTCATGCTTTTGTAAGTGGCTGTCCAGTTTTCCCAGCACCATTTATTGCAGAGACTTTCCTTTCTCCATTGTGTGTTCTTGGCTCTTTGGTTGAAAATTAGCTGTCCATAGATTGTAGATTTACTTAGATTTTATCTTTATTATTTCTTTCCTTCTGTTTGATTTGGGTTTATTTTTTATCTTTTTCTAGTTTCTTGAGGTGGGAGTATAGATTACCGATTTGAAACTCTTCCTCTTTTCCAATGTAAACAGTTAGTGCTATAAATTTCCCTCTCCGTTCTGCTTTTAGCTGCATCCTACAAATTTTGATACGTTGTATGTCATTTACATTCAGTTCAATTCTTTTTAATTTCTCTTGAACTATGGATCTTTAACCTATGGATTAGTTAAAACTATGTTGTTTAATTTCCAAGTGCTTGGAGATTTTCCTGGTATTCTTTGGTTACTGATGTCTGGTTTGATTCCAGTGGTCAAAGAACATATTCTGTGTGAGTTCAATCATTTTAAATTTGTTGAGATTTGCTTTATAGCCCAAGATATAATCTACCTTGGTATATGTTCCATGGACGCTTGAAAAAGAATGCGCATTCTGCTGTTGTTGGTCTATAATGTGATTGGTCTATAATGTCTCTAATGTCCATTAGATCCTGTTGGTTGACGGTGTTATTAAGTTCTATAGCCCTGCTGATTTACGTCCAGTTGTTCATCAGCTGTGGAGAGAGGGGTGTAAGTCTCCAGCTGTAACTGTGGAGATGTCTATTTCTACTTTCAGGTCTATCAGTGTTTGCTTCAGGTATTTTGCAGCTCTGTTGTTTGGCGCATACACATTTAGGATTCTATGTCTCCTCGGTAGATTGATCCTTTTATCATTATATAATAGCACTCTCTGTCCCTGGTAATTTCCTTTGTTCTAAAGCCTACTTTATCTAATGCTAATATAGCCACTCTTGCTTTCTTTTTATTAACGTTTGCATGTATATCTTTTTCTAGCATTTTACTTTCAATCTACAGTTATATTTAATATCATTAAAGTATATTTGAAGTGAATTTCTTATAAACAGTATATAATTGGGTCATGTTTTTAAATCCATTCTGACAGTCTCTGTCTTTTAATTGGTATATTTAGACAATTTCCACTTAATGTAACTATTGGTATGTTAAGGTCTAAGTCTGCCATTTTATTTTTTGTTTTCTGTTTGTTCTCTCTGCTTTTCAATTTTGTTTTATTTTTCCTGCCTTCTGTGGGTTGCCTGAACATTTTTATTATTCCATTTTGATTTATCTACAGTGTTTGTTTTTGATCTTGGGGTTTTTTTGGTGAGGAGGATTGGCCCTGAGCTAACATCTGTTGCTAATCTTCCTCTTTTTGCTTGAGGAAGATTGTTGCTAACACCTGTGCCAGTCTTCCTCTATTTTATGTGGGATGCCACCACAGCATGGCTTGACAAGCAGTGCTATGTCCGTGCCCAGGATCCAAAACTGTGAACCCCAGGCCACTGAAGTAGAGCACACAAACTTAACCACTACACAACTGGGCTAGCCCCTATCTATAGTGTTTTTTAGTGCATTTCTCTGTATAGCTTTTTAGCGTTAACCCTAACTATTACGTTATATACACATAATCTATCAAAATCTACTGGTGTTCACATTTTACCAGTTTGAATGAAGTACTGAAAACTTACCTCCATTTACACCCCTTTATTCTGCCTCATTCTAGTATCTTCCTCTACATACATTGAGAACCACACTAGGTAATACTACAGTTTTTGCTTCAACTGTCAAATTTAATTTAGAAAACTCAAAAAGAGTAGGGGGGCCAGCCCGGTGGTGCAGCGGTTAAGTGCGCACATTCCACTTTGGCAGCCCGGGGTTCGCCACTTCGGATCCCGGGTGCAGACATGGTATCGCTTGGCACGCCATGCTGTGGTAGGCATCCCACATATAAAGTAGAGGAAGATGGGCACGGATGTTAGCTCAGGGCCAGTCTTCCTCAGCAAAAAGAGGAGGATTGACAGCAGTTAGCTCAGGGCTAATATTCCTAAAAAAAAAAAAAAAAAAGTAGGAAAGTCTATTTTTCACCTATATTTTTGCTCTTGCAGTGTTCTTCTTTCCCGCCTGATGTTCTAGGACTCCATTTTCTCTATCATTGCCTTTCTGTTTAGACAACTTTCTTTAGCCATTATTTTGGGGTAGGTCTGCTGGTGACAAATTCCCTTAGTCTTCCTTCATCTGAGAACGTCTTCATTTCCTCTTCATTCCTGTCTTGCTAGGCTGCTCTGTTCCTGGGCCTTTGGTTTAAGGATCTTTTTTTTTGTCTGTGCCTGTTGATGTCTCCAAGTTCCAGGTTTCTGGTTTCTGGCTTCTCCAGATCCAGTCTGCGAAATGTGAAGCAAAAAGAAAACTCGGGAACTGACCACCATATTATTTCTTGGGTCTGAATGTCCCTATGTGATCTGCTCTTCTCTCCACTTTTCATAGTCTTCTTAAGTTTGTTCCATATACAGTCCCTGTGTATACGGTGTCCAGGGTTTTTAACTGTATTTAGCAAGGGAAATAGGGAAAGCTGCATCTACTCCATTTTCCTGGAAGAAGCCCAGAAAATGATTTTTTTAATAATAATATTTATAACAGCATTTAAAAATGAAATACTTCAGATAAACCTAAAAAATAAGTAAAAGCCCTGTACACAGAAAACAACTAAACATTAGTGAGAGAAATTTTAAAGGCCTAAGGAAATGGAGAGGCATGCCACGTTCATGGATTGGAAGACTCAATATCGTTAAGATGTCATTTTCCCAATGTTGACCTCTAGAGTCAACGCGATCACAATAAAACTAAAGGGTTATCTTCTAATTGACAAGTGATTATAAAACTTATATAGAAATTCAAAGGATATAATAGTCAAAACAATTTTGAAAGGGAAAAAAAATTATACACCCACTTTTTGAAAAGTTCAAGGACTTACTCTACCTGATTATCAATACTTACTATAAGGTATAATAATCAAAATAGTAAGATAGTATTGTAAGCATGAACCGGCAGATGAATGGAACAGAACAGAAAATACCCACATATTCATGGACAACTAGTTTGCAGCAAAGGCACCAAGGAAATTCAACAGTGAAAGAATAATCATTCTAATAAATGGTAGTGGAACAAGCAGACAGTTATAAGCAAGAAAATAAACAATAACTTTGATTTATACATCAAACTATATTCAAAAATTAATTCAGACCGGGGGCCAGCCTGGTGGCATAGTGGTTAACTTCACGTCCTCCACTTCAGCAGCCCAGGGTTCATGGGTTCAGATCCTGGGCCTGGACCTACATGCTGCTCATCCAGCCATGCTGTGGCAGTGTTCCACATACCAAAATAGAGGAAGATTGGGATGGATGTTAGCTCAGGGCCAATCTTCCTCAACAAAAAATAGAAATTTAATTCAGACATAAAAGTAAAAGCTACCACTATTGAAAATTCTAGAAGGAGACATAGTAGAAAATCTTTGCAAACCTGGGGAGGCAGAGATTTCTTGGATAGGACACAAAAATGAATCATAAAAGAAAATTGTGACTAATTTGACTAAAATACAATTTAACACTTCCCTTGAAAAAACACAATTAAGAAAATGAAAAGGCAACCCACAGACTGGGAGGAAATATTCACAACACATTTACTTAATATACTTCATAAAAGACTGGCATCTAGAATAGATAAAGAATTCCTACAACTTAATAAAAAGACAAATAACCCGGGGCCAGCCCGGTGGCACAGCGGTTAAGTTTGCACGTTCCGCTTCTCGGTGGCCCCAGGTTCGCCAGTTTGGATCCCGGGTGAGGACATGGCACCACTTGGCAAGCCATGCTGTGGTAGGCGTCCCACATATAAAGTAGAGGAAGATGGGCACAGATGTTAGCTCAGGGCCAGACTTCCTCAGCAAAAAGAGGAGGATTGGCAGCAGTTAGCTCAGGGCTAATCTTCCTCAAAAAAAAAAAAGACAAATAACCCAATTAGAAAATGGGCAAAAGATTTAAACAGACACTTCACATATGATATGATATGTGAATGGTCAATAAGCAAATGAAAAATGTTTAACATCATTAGTCTTCAGAGACATGCAAATTAAAACCACAATGAGATACCATTATACACCCACTAAAATGGCTCAAACTAAAAAAACTGTTGGGGTCAGCCCCATGGCCGAGTGGTTAAGTTCGTGCGCTCTGCTTCAGCAGCCCAGGGTTTCACCAGTTCAGATCCTGGGCATGGACCTGGCACCGCTCGTCAGGCCACGCTGAGGCTGAACAACCAGAAGGACCCACAACTAGAATGTACAACTATGTACTGGGGGGCTTTGGGGAGAAGAAGAAGAAGGAAAAAGATTGGCAACAGGTGTTAGCTCAGGTGCCAATCTAAAAAAAAAAAAACAAAATAAAAAACTGTCAATACCAAGTGTTGGTGAGAATAGGAAACAAGTAGAATTCTCCTACATTGCTGTTTGCCATGTAAAATGCCAAACTTTGGAAAACAGTATGACACTTTTTTTTTTCCCAGATATTTTTCCTTTTTCTCCCAAAGCCCCCTGGTACACAGTTGTGTATTTTTAGTTGTGGGTCCTTCTAGTTGTGGCATGTAGGACGTCGCCTCAGCATGGCTTGATAAGTGGTGCTATGTCCGCGCCCAGGATCCGAACCAGCAAAACCCTGGGCCGCTGAAGCAGAGCACGTGAACTTAAGCACTCGACCACGGGGCCGCCTCCAGTCTGACAGTTTTTATAAAGCTAATCATACCCTTAACATGAGACGCAGGAATTCTATTCCTAGGTACCTACCCCAAACGTTTGTCCACACAAAGAACTGGATATGCATTTTCACAGCCGCTTTATTCTTAACAGCCCCAAACTGGAAATGACTTAAATGTCTGTTCCTAGGTAAATGGACATCCATACACTGGAATACTGTGCAGCAATAAAAAGAAACAGCCTAATACATGCAACAACACGGGTGAATCTCAAAAAGAACTTTTAGGCTGAGTGAAAAAAAAAGCCAGATATAAAAGCATATGCAGTATGACTCCATTTATGTGGAATTATTGAAAAGGCAAAGGTAATCTATTAGTAGCAAAAATCAGAATGGTGGTTGCCTAGGGCCAGAATTGCGGAGTGGAGTGAGTTTGACTGCAAAGGGTTATGAGGGTACTCTTTGGGATGGTGGAAATGTTCTATTTCTTGTTTGTCGTGGTGGTTACTCATCAAACCGTACTTAAAATGGATGCATTTTGGGGCTGGCCCAGTGGCACAGTGGTTAAGTTCACACGTTACACTTCAGTGGCCTGGGGCTCACCGGTTCCGATCCCGGGTGCGGACATGGCACCACTCGGCAAGCCATGCTGTGGTAGGTGTCCCACATATAAAGTAGAGGAAGATGGGCACAGATGTTAGCTCAGGGCCCAGTCTTCCTCAGCAAAAAGAGGAGGATTGGCAGCAGTTAGCTCAGGGCTAATCTTCCTCAAAAAAAAAACCTTTGCTTTGCAAAAAGAATGAAAAGACAAGCCACAGACTGGGAGGAAATATCTGTAAATCACATATACAATAAAAAAAGGTATCCAAAAAACCAGACAAATGCAACAGAAAGCAAAAATAAACAAGTGGAACTACATCAAACTAAAAAGCTTCTGCACACCAAAGGAAATCGTCACCAAAATGAAGACAGCTTACCAAGTGGGAGAAAATATTTGCAAATCATATATTTTGATAAGAGGTTAATATCCAAACTATATAAAGAAGTCACACAACACAATAGCAAAAAAAACCAATCCAACTAAAAAATGGGCAGAGGGTCTGAAGAGACATTTTTCTGAAGAAAACATACAGATGCCCAACAGGCACATGAAAAGGTGCTCAACATCACAATCACCAGGAAAATGCAAATCAAAACCACAATGAGATATCACTTCACCCCTGTTAGAATGGCTATTATCAAAAAGATAAGAAATAACAAATGTTTGCGAGAATTTGAAAAAAGGGAACCCTCGTGCACTGTTGGTAGAAATGTAAACTGGTACAGCCACCGTGGAAAACAGTATGGAAGTTGCTCAAAAAATTGAAAATAGAACTTCCATATGATCCAGCCATCCCACTCTTGGCTACTTATCTGAAGGAAATGAAAATACTGACTTGAAAAGGTATCTGCATCCCCATGCTCATTGCAGCGTTATTTACAAAGGCCAAGACATGGAAACAATGTAAGTGTCCATTAATCACGGATGAATAGACAAAAAAATGTGGTATATATACACAAGGGAATATTATTCGGCCGTAAGAAAGAAGGGAAGAAATCCTGCCATTTGTGACAACACAGATCGACTTTGAGGGCATTATGCTAAGTGAAATAAGTCAGACAAAGAAAAGTACCGTTTGATCTCACTTACATGTGGAACCTAAAAACAAAACTCACAGATACAGAGGAGAGATTGGTGGTTGCCACAGGTGGGAGGTGGGGGTGGGCGAAATGCGTGAAGATGGTCAAAAGGTACAAACTTCGAGTCATGAAATGAAAAGTCCTAGAGATGTAATCACAATACGGTGACTGTAGTTAACAATACGATATGATATATTTGAAAGTTGCTAAGAGAGTAGATCTTAAAAGTTTTCATCACGAGAAAAAAAACTGTAAATATGTGTGATGATGGTGTTAACCAGACTTACTGCGGCGATTATATTGCAATATATACGATATCAAAATCATTATGTAGCATACCTGAAACTAATATGACGTTATATGTTGATTATATCTCAACATCAAAAAAAACGGGTATCCAGAACATATAAAGGACTTATATCTCAAAACAAAACAAAGCTAACAACCTAATTTTTCAAAATGAGTAAAAGATCTGGACACTTCACCAAAAAAGATATACAAACAGAAAATAAGCATAGGAAGAGATTTAACATCAGTAGACATTAGGGAAATGCAAATTAAAACCACAATGAGATATCACTACACACCCGTTAGAACAGGGCGCCAATACGGCAGTACTGAGAGGTGGGAAGGATGTGGAGGAATTGGAACTTTCAGACACTGGGAATGCAAAGAGTACCACCACTCTGGGAAACAGTCTGGCAGTGTCTTATAGAGTCAAACATACGCTTACCTCATGACTCAGCACTCCTACGTCTAGCTATTTGACCTAGAGAGACGCAAACTTATGTTCACACGGAAACCTGTACACGAACATGCATAGCAAAATTATTCATAATCACCAGACAGTGGAAATCAGAATTAGTGTTTTTTTCTCTTGCAAAGTTTTTTTTTAATTCTGATAAAATATGTGTAACATAAAATTAAACATCTTAACTATTTTTTTGTTTTTTGAGGAAGATTAGCCCTGAGCTAACTGCTGCCAATCCTCCTCTCCTTGCTGAGGAAGACTGGCCCTGAGCTAACATCCATGCCCATCTTCCTCTACTTTATATGTGGGACGCCTATCACAGCATGGCTTTTGCCAAGCGGTGCCATGTCCACACCCAGGATCCCAACTGTCGAACCCCAGGCCACCAAAACAGAATGCACGAACTTAACTGCTG